GCTTCCTTTTCAACATTTATGGAGCAGTATGCACCTATGATGGGTTATGAGATCTCTTACGACAAGTACTATGAGTTCAAACTGGATATTGACCAAGTTCTCAAGGACAATGAACACCTTGGCGCAGAAAATTTCTTTGGAGCAGAGGATCCTCATATGGTGGACGATGATCCAGACACTCCACTTCCAGATCTTCAAAGACCAGGCGCAGGTGATCCTGAGTACAAGCATACCATTGAAAGTTTGAACATTGAGGACAAACATATCATTTTGGAAACTGATGATGACAAATTGGTTGAGTGTACATTGAAATGGATCAGTATGTGCAATCAGAATGTTCAACGAAAGATCAAGGAAAGTTTTGTCAAACCAGAAGAAGGACAAGAGAAAGAAAAGGATGAAGAAGAGAAGATTGCTGACGAAGAAAAAGAAGAAGAAAAAGACACACAGGAGCCACATGTCCCAGCTGAAGGCTCTTCAGAGAAAGAGGAATCAGCTCCACCTGAACGCTCCTCAGAAAAGGAGGAATCAGGGGAGAAGAAGACAGACATTCAAGATGATGAGACAGCTCCTGAAGTGAAACCTGCAGTTCGACTTTACTATGGTCAAGATATCACTGGAAACGAAGATGATTCAGTTTTTCGAAGATTGAAGGATTGTTTTTCAGATGGTTACCATGGTGAATGGGCAGGATTTTACAACAAAGGTTATCCAGCGTCTTCGAAGCATCGACATATGTTTTGGCATGTTAAGTACAGGAAGACCATGTCTCCACATCATGATTTTTGGTACCATCTTACAGATGACCAGTTGATGGTTGAGTACATTGCCAGACACAAGAATCAGGATCCACAACTAGAATTACAAGAACTTAATCAGCGCATTGAATATGGTTGTAGTGATCCAAGGATGCATCCTCTTCATCAAGACAAAGCAGAAAGATCCTCAAAAGAAGCAGAAAAGAGGATTGATGACGATTTTGGAAATCTCACAAGGGTACTCCAAGATTACGTTGAGGACCACAAGGTCTTGCCTTACTGTATGATCTTGCATAGCTTGGCTTACAGGTATTTAGGTGGAGGCCTATCAGACCCAACGTACAAGGATGCTGAATTTCCATACAGATCCTCTCCACAGATAACAGCAATGTTTTGGAATTTGGGAAACTGGTGCAGAAACAGATTTGAAAAATGCCCGGTTCCAGAAAGATTTCAACAATTCATTCCACACATTGACTACACTATCGATGAGGATCATGAAAAATTTGATGAAACCAAATCACAGTTCAACAATTACTTCATCAATGTCATCAAGAACTTTGGAGGACATCTTTTCATGAATTGCGAGGCTGGTTCATTGTATCCTCACAGAGAAAGACTCGACGAGGTTGACTTTAAAACTTGCTTCAATGACTATCATGACTTGATGGTGGCAGCTCGCCTTGGAAAGGATGGCTATATCAAGCAAATTGCTGGATATCACACAGATGACAACGACACACGAGTTCGACAAGTCTCATGGGCAATCTTTGAAGTATCTTGGGGAAAGACAAAGGATCGAGATACAGATGAGATTGTTGACTTGACAAGAGCTAGGATGAGAATGACACGTGTGTGCGTTTATCACGTCGGACAGAAGTATGCATCAGACTCTGCTGGGATTGTTGGTGAGTGCTTAGCTGTTATGGCTTTTGAGTGTGCCAGATATCAAGTTGACTTCATCGCAGGTGATGGAAACAAGGCATGCTATTACAGCACACCAAAATCTCCAGGTGTCCCTACATATCAACACAGCCTTATCCAATTCTGGATTAACAGAATGGTAGGTGTTGCAACACAAGCCATGCGCAAGAATTTTGATCCAACTTGCCCTCCAATCAGGGTCAAGCATTTCATTTCTTGCAGTTATCGTGACTTGGATTTTCTTGCAACGCACTTGGATGGCATTACAACAGCAACATACACCGACGAGCTCATGAACAAGACAAATGGTAAAGGTGATTGTTGTATGTTAACAGTTGTTGAGTGGGGTCATTCACGTTTGATGTGTGAGGAACACCCAGAAGACTTTGAGGATGAAGATCACATGAACTATGTGGGTGAATTTTACTTCAAGGTAAATGAAACTTGCTTACATGGTGATCACAACATCTTCATGGTTGCTCCAAATGATCGCGATGCTCATAATCCAATTCTTATCCATCTTGATCCTTCTGATATGTCATGGAATGAACGACATCATTACAAACAGGCCTACAAGAAGAAGCAGTATGCTGATTCAAGAAAGGAAAGACAGAAGGAGAAAAAGAGAAAGGCATATGAAGATCAAGCATCGACGTATCAGGGCAACACAGAGTGGGGTGGATCCTCATCTTCAGCGTCCAGACCATGGAGATCAAGTGAGTGGCGATGAGTGAGTGTACACTTCTTTAATTGAAGATAACACAGCATGAGAAGCCGTGTACAGTTTTTCTGTGCGTTCAACTTATTTCACACAGATGGCATATACTCTTTTAGATAGAGATAATGCCACAAGTGTCTGAACTTCAATTTAATGTAAAATAGAGACTCTTGTAAATAGAGATACTATATACATTTATCTCCATGAATCATCCGGCGAGCAGACCACTCCGAATGGAGCGAACTTCAAAAATTTACCAACTTCGATTTCAGTCCATTGTTTGCTTGAATGAGCAACTTTGGAGATCCGCTATTTCCGTTTATTTCGTGATTTGGTCAATTGTTTTTCGTATGACCTGAATTTCTGAATCTTGCGAACCCGAACTTTTCAATTCGAACTTTCACCGGTAGAGCGAGGCATTTTGCCTGTGGAGAGACCGTGCGCGAAGCACCATTGGTCACTACTGGAAAAATTAGCGAATCCGCTGTTCTTTTTCGACATGTCCTTAGGACATTCGCTGCTTTCACGTGTTTTTCAATTCGAAGCCACTGCGTAACTCCGGTTTCTTTTGCTATTTGCCATTGTGTAGAGAAGTCAGGAAGATACTCTTAATACCAATTGGGTACGGCAAGGCGTAGTGCTCTACTCATTGCTTTTGAATTTGTGCCTGTGTTTTTGTTTCGACCTAATACCTACATAGGTACATGCATGAGTATTGAGCACATTTATATGCGCCCTTCAAGAAAGAGGTATATAGAGTAACCCTGTAGACAAGCACTGACCGGCAACAGGCTGAGAGTAAAAGAGTGCTGTCATTGGGGAAGACGCCTTAGCTGATCTTGAAGTAGACGCTAGGGCCCCTCTTCCCCCCCCCCCCCTTCGATTCCCCCCAGGTCCGCCTCTAAAGCTGCGTTTGCAACATAGGCGGACAACAAGGAACGCCAACAGCCGCACATGCCCTTTCATCCACCACGGCGACATACATCCCCGCCCCCAACCGAAGTCAAGACCCGCACTGAAACTCGATAATGTCAAATTGCTCAAGAACTTCGTTGCGTTCACCCTAACAACCGCGACGAAAAATGTCGGAGCAAGAACGTTGCGACGGACTGCGTTGCAGTAGTCGCAAAAATCCTACCTGATATACAATACAGTTAAAGATGTATACATAGACATATATATACACATATAATTTCATGACATATTATCTATACATATACACTACACATACATAGATTTATTTTATATATATATATCTCTCTCTGCCTACTCTACCCAGCAATTGTGGGATATTGCACTTTGGTCTCGAAAGGTAGCGGTGAGCTACCTGAGTTCCCCTTTGGGTAGCAAGTACTAGGGGGCGAGCGGTGCAAGTGCAAGAGTTTGGGCCGGTTATGTCTTCGTCCGCCTTTCAAGGGGGGGGGTTTCCCCCAGGTCCGCCTCTATAACCTTCTACGAAACCATCATAGAGACCTGGAAACAACGATAAGATCGTAGTAACAACGATAAGAATGGTAAGATCATCACGATAATTCTTCTGTATATATACCTTTATAATATATCAAAATATTTGAACATATATTTCACAGATGCGAATCAGTGTGCTGCTTGCGCGGCCAACTGTCAGAAACAAACCCCAGGACCCCCCAGCATTGCGGACAAGAAGCAGTCACTAGAGTAGTTAAATGGGCGGGAACCCCATTGGCGAAACCATGGTTCCAGCTTGGCCTTCTTCACAAAGTCCGCACCACACTCGCTATACTCCATTTGAGAAGGGGTCAGGTCTAAAGGTTCATCATCCGATGATGAAGATGAAGATGAAGATAAAGATGATTCATCCCAGCGCATCTTCATGGCGCCACAAGGTTGAAAACACTATGATGCTGGTTTGCTTTTGAAAGGTTACTTGTTCATGGGGTTCTTGGTTTAGATTATTTGATATATCATGATTAAGATCTCATCATTACTCATGCCATATCAAATGACGGCATATGCCACATAGAAGCCAGAAAGCATCTTGAACCCTTCCAGCTGCAAGACCTGGCAGCCAACTGGATAACACCTGGTTGCAACTGAACTTGCATATATATATATATATATGTCTGTGTGTCTGTGTGTGTGTCGTGTCCCCCCTCCCTGAAACCTACCTTTTTGGTACCCGCCCTCGAGTCCAAGCCCAGAAGACTTTTTTCGATATCCGCCCCAACTCCACCCACGTCCGTCCGCAGCGGATATGCCTCGTTCCCTTGCTCTCTTCTCCTGTTCCAACCCATGCCTACCTTTCGATCTTTCACCCTTCCCTCTCAAGTAAAATGATGATTCAACCACTTGAAGTTAGGATTCAACCAACTTATATAGAACCTGCTGATCGAAGCAACTGAAAGAAAATGTACATAGAAGATGGAAGGCGGCACATCTCTCAAGTTTAAACCGTTCGACACCCGAACATATTCCCTAAATCGCGTTGATAAAACAGAACCGATTAAGTCTAAGACTACTATGTGTTTTTTTTTGTGATGTCTTGCTCTTAAAGATATTAATCAAGGTCGGATTTCTCATTGATCTCCATGAATTTTTCACGGCCGCTGTTGTGTTTTCAGGCTGGCTTTCACCACTGAGAACCCCACGGGGCACTACTTCCTGGATTTGGCCAACCCTGCGGACTTTGCTGTGGCCGAACAAGTCATCGTGCTGAATCAGTGGGAGATCCTGAGCCTTGCCCGTGGGAGGTCGTACCTTGCAGATGCGACTGGGGCGTGTCTACGGTATATAAAATACTAATAACGTATACTATGCTACTAATATTAATGTATAGAGCTACTAATTCTATGATTCACAATATAACCATACTAATAAACAATGTTTTTTTTTTTGTGGTAAGCTATACTATAGAAATTCACCACAATTTTGATGGGATTCACTTGTTTTCATCTTCTTGAGGGTTGCTTTTTGAATGATTTAATGAGGCTTTCCAGATTCAGACAAGCCAATTTTCTTTGCAAAGTTGGCGAGGAGGTCAAGGTTGGAATATTGATAAGCCTCCATGGACTTGGTCGGAAGTGTGGAGTTGCTGCAGAATGGGGTAGAAGGGGGCACCTAGTGATGGCTGTGTGGATTTTCCACGATTTTTGGAGTTGCAAGCAGCCTGATGATGTGGTTCAATGGTCTCATCCGGATTATTTTGGCAGCGAATACACGGAGATAAACATGTCTATGTTGATCCATGTGTACTATGTTTCAACTTTCAGATTGTAGCATTTAGCGAACTCTTACACCAACATGAACCAATGAGAAGTGTAGGCTTTGTGTTGCATGTTCTCAGTTTTTTTTTCTGAGGATTGAGGAGAATCTGAACTACGTCGACACGTCTCAATATGGGAATCGCTGCCACCTGCGGAATATGTCTTACGCAGGGCGCAGATTACCTGTCCAGGAACCGCACCACGGCACCACGGGTCATGGTATGTCACGGCAACAGGTCGCAACACCGTGAACTTCTGGCAAAATGAGGTACCCATTGACCCACTAAACTAATCACGCTTCACACTGCCAAACCACTGGTTTTTGGGCTTGATAATTCTGACCCATAGACATATAATTTCAAATAATGCCAAGTGCGTATTAAAAACCCCCCATTAGAAGGTAAGAGTCCCACCGCCATTAAAAAACTAGGGCCTGTCATACATTAAAGAAAACAATCAACCTGCCTGCCAATGGGTCGAAATTTATCTTTTCGGTGACAACCTCCCTCCCAATGGGGTGAGATGGTGAGATTGGGCATGTGACATCTCTTCAAGAAGTTCAACCATTCAAAAACAATTAAAACCATTAAGAAATAATTATATCCAGACTACCACAAAAGTAGGATTTCTGAGCAGGGTGTTGCTTAAGGGGGCGCACATGTTTATTAGTAGGGAGGGACCAACGCAAAGTAGTATATTGCCACACATTTTTTTGGAATGTGGGTGTTGATTAATTCAGGCTGCTTATCAATATGAACTTGACATTACAACACATCACAACATATTACAACATCTATTACAACACTAAACAAAAAACATGTCTGAATCCTCGGCTGCGAGAAACATTCTGACCTGGAAGCACTATGAAGCAGTGATCGGAGTGAAAATTCAGAACACAGACTTAGCATTTCTTTGGGTATCACTGATACCCTCTGGTTATTTAACATAGCCATGGAAAATGGCCCATTTATAGATGGTTTACCTATTAGAAATGGTGATTTTCCATGGCTATGTTAAACAACCAGATGGTATTTACTAATATAACCAAACACTAATATAATGTATACTAATATTAGTGATCACTATATACACTAATACTAAATAATACTAATATATACTCATATAACCATCAAGTTCTCTGTGAAACATCAATTTCTCGTGAGACCAGAGAGATCCGTTTGTCGGCTGAACCTTTGATAAGTTTTGGCATTCTGATCACAGCAATGCAATGTCTTTCCCAGGGTGATGTCTAACATTTTATTGATTAATTCTAATATGTTGAGAGTTGCTTAGCATTAGATGTTCTATTAACTATTGTTTTCCTGTTTATATATGTCTATAAACTTAATTATTCTGAATTATATACACTTACGTATATATATATATGTACACACAGATTTGCCGAAATTGTGTCTTCGGCCTTGCGCAGGATGTGAAACAGTTCATTTTGCCCATGGCGGAGTCTTGGCCGTTTCTTGCGGAGATCAATAAACGGTCTCCAGGTATGCCAAGGTCAAACATAAATATAGTAGTATAAATGTATAAATGTAAGCATATGTTTGATACATTGGTATAGTTTGGTCATATCCAAATATAGTTCATATGAATAGAAAAGGTTACATCCTATATAGAAATACTACTTATAAGATGTAGATCCATCCCCCTGCACATGGGCCGTAGGAGTTTGTGCCGGGTCCTTTAACAAATATGGTCGTTTATTGTGTGGCATCGGGACACCTAGCACTCTAAATGTTGTTTTGAAACGGTTTTGGTGTTTGCGAAATCGTGGAGTACTTAGAAAGGTACAAGTCTGACCCTCTGGTAATCAAACATGGCAATGGAAACACCCATGTGTAGATAATTGTCCCATTCAAATGCCCATTTTAGCCATGTTTGAATACTGAAGGGTAAGTTTGCAAGATCGTGAAGAGAAGATCAAGCACTTCCAAGGCCTCATATCTTTTTGTTGTTCTTGTGACAACTTGTGACCATCGGATTTCTCAGGACTCCTTCAGTTTCGACTATGTCAGCTGCAAGCGTCCCAAAGCCACAGATCCTACCTTGGATCCAGAGGAGTTTCAGAGGTTTTTGAGGGCACTCTCAAGGCTTGGACATGTGTACGGCTATACCTAAGTCTGCACTGGAGATGTTGTCCAAGATGATTTATGTGTTTTTTTCCGGAAATTGTGATGAGTTTTTGTTTGTGTTTTTCCATTTATGTCATAAATTATCGACAATTATATGTGCAAGATATCTCTGTATAGCTAAACATGTATATTTGTTTGTTGTGGTAGATCTGTAGATTGTCATTTCATGTATTTTGTTCCATCGTTTTTTTTTACCTGGAAAATTCGATGGTTTTCCCAGGGACTGCAGCCATTGAAGGCGCAACAGTCTGGACACCAAGTTGCGACTCCAAGTGCTGCGCAGCGTCTCGTGGATGATTTTCCTTAAGGCGCCGCCGTGGACGCAGGATGGGTTTATCAAATGGATGGGTTATGGATGATATTTTATGAAAGTTTTTTGATATGGTTATTTGGATGAAACTGTCATATGGTTATTTTATGTAACATTATATATCATATGACAGTTTCAGGGATGAACCCTTTGCTGCACGAGATCATGGACAGTTCACGAATGGAACATGGATTATTTGTTGATTTCCAATTGTCGTGAATTTGATTGCCACAAGGGAATACCTGGTACACAAATACATAATAGTCGGATTCGCCTTCTCAGAACATTTGCTTCCGGTTTTTCAATGTTTTTCAGGCCTGGTACACACATATGAATCATATTTTCACATCAAGAGAGATAGTGAGAATCGAAGTTCCATAGCTGCTACAGTTGTTGACCCATTTTCCTGTGGGGGATCCATGGGGATCCCAGGCGACGCAGCTCCGGCATTTGTTGGGCCTCTTTGAGGACGATGTCGAGCAGTGGGAGTTACCGTGGGATTTCATTCGATATATGGAGGTTTTCCTATAGGATTTAACAGCCCCTAATACAACCACGCAAAAGAGAATACACAAGGAAATGTTTTTATAGTTTCACATATCTTAAGTTTCTTTTCAACCATGGGATGATTGGTTGAGATGACTAACATCTTTGGGATGGGTCAAAAGCACCGATTTCGGAGTCCAAGCAGGAAATTGGTCACAAGACAAAGCCCAAATGTCATACCCCACAGTATAGTCTTCTTTGGGATTCATCATGCAGGTGCATGATGCAATATGGCAATTGCTGCTACCTTTGGTAATAGTTTGCCGGATTTTCCTTGATTTACTTCGATGATTTTCCCATCGATGTCCATGTCTGACGATTTCCCAGCCATGTTTTGTGGCCGGACCTGGCGACAGGATGACTTTCAAGCTCAGTGCGCAGCTACTTGGACTATCTTGGAGCTGCAGTTGGGCTGGATGTTTCAGACCAATTCTGCTCCAGGATGTTGCTTAGATGTTCCAGATTTTCCAGATTGGATGTTTTAGGAGCCCCATTTATGAAACACTAGACAATCACTGGGAGTTTCGGATGTCAAATCCCACTTTCGGGTGGAAAGGGCCTGAAGTTCGGGACGTGATTTGAAGACATACCCTGACTAGCAGTCATTAGGCCATCCTCTTTTTCAGAGTGGTGGACATGGAGAATGAGAAGATCTTCCGCTGCTCGAAGTTGAAGTTCAGGAAGAGTTGAGGAATGCTGAGGAGATGGATGGTTCTGGGTAGAGACACTGTCAGCAGTGTTGCTGGTTCATTGACTTTGTTGTGGATGGTGATTGAATCGCTATGATTCTTTCTTTGATCAGAGTGTTGGCCCACCATTGGAGGGGCATTCGCATCGTTTTTTTGCTACGTTCTGCTAGGGCTAGGGTTTCCTATCTTCACGTGTTTGTATCAGGGGTCCATTGAACCATCTGATTTGGTTTGCCCTGAGCTGACATTTTGGACCCACCAAGAAAGTCGGAGCTTTTGAAATTGATGTTGTTCCTTAAAGAATACTCATAATTATATAGTCAATTAATGTCAATTATAGTCATTTTTCATTGGCACTTTTGATAAATTTAAGTAATGATGATTTATTCGTTCCGTTTGCCACTCCAAGTCTGATGGCTTTCCCATGGATCCAGATCCAGATCCATCGTCCCCGAGAAACGTACGTTTTTTCAGAAGACTGATGCGACGAGGATGAAAAATTGGCAGTTTCACTGGTGTATAACTATGTATATTATGTATATGATGATGATGATGATGATGATGATGATGAAAAACCAAGAGATGGAATTGGGTAGCCTATTTTGACACAACTCCATTTGATGCCAGTGAAGCCAGCTGAGGCTGTGGCTTCGATCCCCTCCAACTGTCGTTGTTGCAGCAAAGTCTCATGAGCTGAGCTGGATCCACTTATGGCAGGATTTACCAACAGAGTACAGATTGATATAGATTGATTGGCATATTTTTTTTTACAGTTTACATTGTGGATCACCAAGACGTGGGAATAGGGTCTCTTTTATTTCACAGCTAAAATAGGCCAAAACTGATAAACAAAGTGCACATGGCCAAAACTACGTTTGCTTGTCTGGGAATGGATCAAGTATATTTTTCTTTAACATCAACGATAAATAGCTATGGGATATCATCGACATGTGCCTGGTAGCAAGTGATTGAAGCCTATTGGCCCCATCTTTTGCGGAGCAGTGGACGACCTGGGCATTGGATCATGGGCGACAAAAGGGGATGATCTCCAGTCTGATACATCGATACATCATATGACATATCATACTCGATCATATGGATTGATCATGGATTAATATGGATTAATATAGTGTATATAATAGTATATATATAATATATATAACTATAATTATATATATATACATATATATATATAATTATAGTTATAATTATAATTATATATATACATATATGAATTCCCCAACAAACGTATCCTTCCAATTCTCAGCTGTCATGGGATCCGAAATGATTTTGGGGGCATCTGATCGCTGAAGCACTTCCGGCAAGGTATGGGCTTTGTGGCCTGCTTTCCCTACATCCAACCGGACCATTGGACAGTCACCTGGTAGATGGGATGGCTGGGAAGTGGAAACAGTTTGAGCAGTGCGATCTACCCATGTTGCTTGATGAGTTCGGGATTTTTATCTCACCCATATGTTTTCATTGGGCTTTTGGAGTATTGCAATCCATTTTTTTTAGGGGAATCCCGTTCACAACCAAGCAGTAGAAAAATAAGGGACGACACAGCGGATCTTCGGCTGCAGTCATAGAGGAAATCATCCCCAAAGCTGGGTATACTTATGATACTGTAGTAACTGTAGTAGTTGTTGTTGTTGTTGTTTTTTTGTTAGTGGAGCAGAAACATGCCCTGAATTAGTTCATTTCAATTGAACATTTCAGGTTGTTGAAAGGATGCGAGATTCCATGCCAAAACTGCGCAAGGAGCTTGCACACATTGTGATTTTTTCCTTTCGACCTGCAATGATGATCCCAGTTTACCGTAATATTTTTTCAGGGGTTGAAGCCGCCAACCAAATGAAAACAAAAATGACATTTACATATATTATAATGACACTCCAAATTACTGTGTTTTTCTTATCCACAATATTTTACATTGTTTTACCATGTGAACTTAGTTGGTGCGTGACTTGCCGACGGGAATTTCCCTAGATCAATCCCGGAGTTCGTCGTGGCGCTGAGATCGATTTGGATCTGACACGCCATGATCAGCGCCGCGTGGTGAGCATCATGTGGTCCCTGGCAGAGAAGGAACGGATGGATAACCTTTCGGACATTGTCAGTGCACCCAGGGGAGTTGATGGGTGAACGCCACATCCTCAAACAACGCCATTAAATGGGGATTTGGTTGCAACAAAAATCAACCACACAAAAAACGTTTGCAGCACCCCGGGTATTTTAGCACAATACACATTTATAAAATATGTATATATTATGTCTATTATATATATATATATATATTATATATACATACATATATAGTGTACGTGTAATGTAATCTATATGCATATACATAATGATATATATATGTATACATATAGTATGTTTGTATATTATTATAAACTGTAATATATGCATAGATGGGTTATAAACCACTTTCTACCTGCTGCACTGCTTCCCGCAGCTTTTTTCGGTCAGGTCTATCTCTCCGCCGAGAAGGTGCTGCTGAGCACAGCAGAGTGGACGCCTCCCGTCTCCTGGTGTTCCGTCGAAAACGTGCCCACCACGGGGCGAATCAAGGCCGACACCGTGGGACTTGGGCACTGACCATGATTTCAACAGGAACATATGTAAAAAATAGTAATTTCATGCAGTTAAACCCCATCAGAATGATGATTTCATGGGATATGAATCGGAATATCATGGTTTACTAATCAACTGAACTGGAACTAATCCCTTCCCCCTATGCAACACCCTCATAGACCATGGTTTAGCACGGAAGCTATATACATAAGTGGGACCATCAAGTGGGGGTGTTTTTTTTTTTAATTAGGCGTATGGGATATGCGCTGGAAGTTGATAAACCCGTTGCATCCCTTTACCATGTTTTGACCATGGCACATGTGGGAAATTCAGAAGATGGAACATGTTGGAACGATGTCACTGAGATGCGAGACCCGGTATAAAGGGACTTCCGATGCTGTTTTTGGAATGCTAGCGGACTGGGTGGGTTGTCTAGTGCCCCTCTTTGCCACCAAAGTGGCACCAAATGTGCCCAAGAATCTCCGGCTAAACTAGAGAATTCATGAGGATTCCATTTTTCTTGGTCCCATATATTCCAATCCCGGCTGCAACTTCGCTGGGATTTCCGAATGGCAGGTGACCTACAGAGGTGGTAAGGACACTTTATCCTGGTCCACTCGAAAGAAACTCTGCGCGCCTGGGATGAAACATGGGTCAAGCTGGAACCGAAGATCAAGACTCAAGAGACATGTGACATGTTAATATGGGTCAAGATCAAGAAGTTTGCAAAACTGTAAAAACTGTAAAGTAGGGGGTGAAACATTGTTGGACCGCAGATTCTATCACATGACATATAAATCCCATCTCCCTAATATTCCAAACACCTCCATTTTATTGTCCCAAACCATTCTGTAAATCCCATATTAAAGTTTATTAAAGCATGGTTTCTGGGGCCTCGATATTAGCCTAAACTGGATCAGTTTGATCCAGGGAAATCCTGTCGACAGGAGCAGTATGGTCACTGGCAGCTACAGTGCAATCACACCGATGCTTGGAACACGTTGGAACACCCCGGGTCTGATCCAGCTGTTCCAAAAAAGGAATTTCCCCGGAAACGTCACATTGTGACCTAGGAAATTATGACTATTTAATGTATATGATTGTACATAATTATTTCATGACGCTATTTCCATCTATTTCAAATACACCATTCTGGAATTGGGATCTGTGTATTATAGACAGATGCAGACACATGGCTAAGAGCCTATCACTTCTAGGGCGGCTGACTATCTGTCTATCTGTCTGTTTGTCTGTCTACCTATCTATCTATCTATCTGTCTGTCTATTCTAATCTAACCTTAATCTATGCTATTGTATTCAATCTAATCTAATCTAATTTAAATCCAATCTAACCAATTTATAATCCAATCTAATCTAATCTAAACTATCCATCCATCCATATCCTTGGACGATCAAGTAGTTTACATTTCTGGTTTTTCCTGGTGGGATAAGTCGAGGTAATCCACTTAAAACCGGGCTTATGATTTTTGTTTAACCTATTTACTAACTTGGATGAGCCACCAAGTTTTGTTATCAAAGGAAGTTTAGTTGAAAACTTCCGAGTTATGAACAAAGGTTATGGTTAGCATTCACACCATCACGTCCATACCAACCACATCATCGTGTCAACCACATCATTATGCCAACATCATGTTAACCCCATCATCACGTCAACCACCACATCATCAATATCATCAATATCATCAATATCATCATCATGTTCATCATCATCAACAACAACATCATCATCATCACCACCATCATCATCATCACCACCATCATCATCATCAACAACTAGTTTTCAAATAGTTGGGAAATGTAACAGTTTGGGAACACTTTGGAAGCGTGTGAATTCACCGGTGAAAACACTCTTCGTCGCGTTTGTGTGTTTCTAAATCATCGATTCATTGGTTCACTGATGATTGTTTCATGTCATTTCGTTGGCATCTCAACCACCATTTCCTCATTCCTTGATGCACCTCCCAACTTCACAACCGCCCATGGTTTCTGCATCTCAAAAATGTTCGTGTAGTAGGCCGTTGATTTCCTATAGCCATTTCCTATTTTCGAAACTTCCGCCTTGGCGCGTGCCGGACACTATCTGGTGTATATACACAGAAACACATCAGCATCACCTCCACGGTGACATCGCACGCTTTCAGGATGTGAATTGGTGGTCCTCCTTGAACGAGGCACCCGTGGAGGCTGGGGTCATGCCAACATCGTCCTTGAAACATTTGGAGAGACGGTACCACTTTCATCCCAGTGGAAACATGATGGTTAATAATTCTTAGTAGTGGTTAATTGTGGTTTATAATGATGAGTAATAAGTGCTTATCCCCTGACAATCAAAAAACCATGGAACATCTCTATAAATGATTTTACATGGAGGTTAGAGCTGGCAAAATCATCAATGCATGGATTCGTGTGATTTTCCAGCAAAAAAACATGTGTGTGATGTCGGCCGGATACCCAATGCCATGGACCATCCCATTGACCAAACAGAACTTGGGCTCACAATAAAAATCATCCCATTCCTAGGGATATACCATGATATACCCTTCATGATAGAGCTCGATTGGAGATGGTTTCCGGCGGTTTAGCATGGTTTACCACATTTTGGCAAACGATTGGTGCAAGGATGGGATGACCAAAATATGGAAGGATTATGTGTGATGACCAATTTTAGCCCAGAAAATGGTCTTGGGGTGCCTGAGTTTGACCAAATGTTTGCACACAATGATTTTATGGGATAACTGACTATGTATGGTACAATTATATTGGATAGTTATCGGATATTGTTCTGGGAAATTGTGGGGTGGAAAACTATCTCCAGCTGGGACTTTTCATATATTGGGAGAACATGGTAGAACTATGGCACCCAGATGTGAAATGGAACTGCACCCCCTAGTAAGTGGTTAATTGCGGTGGTGCATGTTTGTCATTTATGTGTTCGCATCCAAATGCAGGTAGATTTGCCATAAACCACAGCTTAATAATTCATTATAAACTACTTTACCTCTATCAAGGGTTCCTTTTTGTTCACCCGCCTCCCCGATTGTCTAATCAGCCAGATTTTGTTTATCCGGGTTTGACATTCCATACAGTATGGGAATCTATAGTATACAGTATATGTTTTTGCAGCTAGATTTTTTTATGATTTACGAGGGGTAATTTTTGGTAAGTATTCCATTGAGCATATGGCAAAGGAACAACAATCTTGAGGATGTGAATGAATGGATACAAACAAAAATCACCAAATAAGGAAGAGAAGAGGATGGTCAACAATGATTTTCAGATCAATGGTTTATTTGTTTGCCCTAAACTACTTCTACACATGGGATGTAACCCACCAACACACTCCAAGATATTGGTTTGAATTATGTTTGATGTTCCGTTTCTTTTTAATAACCTGGCTGCCGCTTGACGACAGAAAATCTCATTGACATGGGTTGAAACCACCAAGAGCCTCTGGCTCATGGATGTTTAGACGATCCGACTCTTTCATGTATGTAGACTTTTAAGGAAATTGTAAACTATTGAACTCATTTGAAATATGGTTTTAGAACTTGTCAAATCGTTACTAGACGTTACTTAAAACTGCTACTGTACTAAAGAAATGCTGCGCATCCTTGACTGGGACGGTTGAATCCCCCAATTTTGGGCAGTTCGATCTCCAAAATCCATCCCCAAATTGAGATGATTCTCATCCGAGACAAGGATGTTGGTTAGCCATTGGTGAAAAATTGGTGGAAAAATTGGTGAAAAGTCCGGGTGATCCATTCAGAATGGCCGTCTGCTAGGTGACTCAGTTCCTCCAGCCCCTTGGCATCCCTTGGAGGGGTTCATGGCTGTTTTGTTTGTCGGTGAGTACTGAGTGTTGCATGGTCCCTTCCCTTGCTTGTGCAATAGGAAAATTAACCACTTTACATGTTAAAACCAGGTCAAGAAAAGGAGGCGCAGCCAGAAACTGCAACAATTGGAACATGACAGGCTTGTCTTGGTCACACGTTCAGTACAGGATGACCTAAGTGGTAGTCAAAACCGGTACTTGACCTACTTAACTGTCGGCCAAAGGGCTGGTTACAAAGGACGTTCAAACTAGCTGCTGATATCATTGATATCATCTGACTTGGGGAATCAACCATTATCAACCTCCATATGATATATATATATATATATAATCACATATAATATATTATTTAGTTTTATATCATTTCATATGTTGCAACTCCATTGTGAAAACTGTGGTGCCATTCGGTCTACAGAAGTCAGATCGCGAGGCTCTTGCTGCGGCGCTTCAAGGATTTCGATCAGGCGAGCGGCTGAACAGGGGAAGTTCAGCTGCGAGCAGATGAACTCGGAGGGCGATGAGTTCTTGAACTTGCACAATATACGAAATGTAACAAAAAGTATATATGAATGTATGAAGTCATTGAAATCTATGCGAATTTTGTGACATACATGAGTATGCTATGTTATGTACATGTCCCTAATTATGGAGATTCCAACTTCCAACAAGGCGTTATCGTGATCATACCAAGAAAGCCGAGGAAACAGGGATCCTTGACATACTTGTCTTCGTCTCAAAATAGGACAATCATCATGTTCCGTTTTGGAGCCTTTTGAAGCTATTTCCCTACGTTAAGGCCAGCTAAGGCATACTATGAATGTCCAATGGTCCAATTCCTTACCGTTTCAGGCGCTGAAACCTGCAGACGCGTAGCGGCGTAGCTCTCGAAATTTTCTGTAAGCTACAAACAGAAAATGGGCCCTGTGCACTTGGTGGGTGACCCATAAATTCTGTGTTTGTAAAACATATGTATACTATATACTTGAGTTATCCTAAGTTCTAATTTTAGTGTTCAAGTATGTTCAAGTTGCTGAAAATCGATCCAACCGCCATGCTGCTTGGCCCAGGCCTTTACCTTCATCGATGGTGTCAATGGCAACGGCGTCATCAACAAGAAAGAACTCACGGAGCGTGTGCAGCGAATGGGCTACAAGGAGTTCCAAGGTGGATGCCATTGGGCCATGGTGCTTTCATAGCTTCCCAATGGGGGTTGGTAAACGTCCTGTTTTGAGGATTTTGGACCATTTTGGACATCACTTTCTGGCGTATTTGCTGGTGATGAGATATGCCCTTTTCTCTTGGGTGATGTGAGACATGAGTCATGAGGGCTTTAACCCACTGATGAACCAACATGTTTCAGATTTTATCCAGCAGATTCCAGGTAGACAAAGTATAGATTAGATATACTGAAGACATTGGACACCACATGTTGGCCGAGTAAGCCACCCACGCGAGCATGATATCATCATGATATCGTTGCTACATGTGACTGTGACGTCGCTGGGGTAGGTGAAATGATGGTGAATGTATGGGGGAATCATCCCCAAATGGCCTTAATTCAGATTAGTTACATAATATATATAAATATATAATATATAGTTTATCCAGATTTATAGTAGCCCACTATACAGTGGATGTACATCGATGTACGTCGCTACGTCTCAACGCTGACACCATGCTGGGATGATCATCTTTGATCTGTGATCAAACAATGGGACACCCCATGTCCTTCGGTGTTTAGCGATTCTCCATGTTGTGTTCTGCGAGGTCACCAGGTCACCAGGCACGGTCACAAAACGCACGGTCATCCCCAGAGGTCTCCAGGCGGTGCCGCTGACGCAGAAGGTCTTTCGCTACTTGGACCCCGACAGCAGCGGCAGCATCAGCCGCAAGGCGCCAAGCATCGCCAAGCGTTTGCTGCGTCGGCGTCGTCCTCTTGGGGTGGCACCGGTGCTTGTTGTTGCGGAAAAAACTGATGAAAATTGATGGAATTCGATGAAATACTATAAACACCCTAGGATTGACGTTTGTAGGAAACATGGGAAGATGAACATGATTTCAACAGGCTTTATGACTGCAGTTGATGGTTGCACATGTTCGAACAACAACAAGGACTGCGTGGAATAATAAAAAATCAACGCCCATTTTTTGGGCGGAGATGGGTTGCAACCAGCCTGGGGCGGTTTGATTGGGGGCTACCTGGGGCTGTTTCCAGGTTGGTCAGCCCAGAAAGATGTTGACATGATTCATGGGTGCCCCATTTGTTACTCATGTCGGGAAATTCAGGGATCATCCAACTTATGTTCTTCTCAACCATGGTTCCCTTAATAGAAAGCGTAGAACAGCCTCTCCTTGGCACAGGAATGGTCAACAATGATGGATTTGCAGAAGGAAGTGCTGCAGCAATTGGAGGATTTTGCCCTCTTTCTGCATCGACCCTGGGGCCCGGAAAGTCATGCTCCAACCCATAGGTAAATGATAACCACTAGTAGCCACATATAGGGGGAAAAAATGGGTGAGTACTCTTTACCACATTTCAATACATTTCACATATCTGAGGTGGCCAGGGACAATTGGGAGGGAAAAGACACACATAACGTGGCGCCGGTTGTCATGCCGTTTACGTGGATATTTCTGGATGATCCAACTGAATTGCTAGTCACAAACGTGGTCATTCGGGGAGATGTTCTCTGTGTTTTGCCCACCGCAGGACTGAGATATTTACTGAGATATTTACTGAGATATTTACTGAGATATTTATGATATTTGGATATATTTAGGTTGCTCAAGATCCACGACCATCATGTCAAAAAAGCCTTCAGTCAGGGATACATCATATGCATTCATATGCCATATTTATCCATATTTGATTACCGGAGGGTACATGATATGATATCAACCACCTATCATGGCAGCGAGGGCAACACCTACCTTGTTTCGCACGGTGACATGAGCATTGATCCCTTTGGTGCCAAGGAGAGTTTCCATTCGCACGCGGACGACTGCAGAAGATTTGGCCCTTGATTGACGCTGTGTCAAACATTTTTTCGGGGACAGAGCTTCTGCCAGTGGAGAAACAAAGCTCTGATTGATTGTGATTGATTGAAATAGTTTTATATGATTTTATATGTTGTTTGGGAATTCAAGTAAATCCTGCAGGCCATCTTTAGAGTCACAAAATTGGTGAACATTGCAGATGATTTGCAGGGTATTGGGCTGCTGGAGTGTGAGACTGTTACTTTCAATGGGTGATCAAAAAAATACACATACATGTACAATGTACAATCCCAGCCTATTGGTTATGTTGAAGTAGACAATGTTGGGTCGGATTCAGCACAATAATATGTTTGAAAAATAAAAAGCATATGATGTTACATTATTAGGTTCAAAGATCTATATATGTTATGAGATGTGTTTCCTCAAATTTCCATGATCTTGGCTGGAACATCTACACGAAAGCCTGGTTTTATATGTTTTCTCCATTAAGAATTACCTCGCGCGGCTACCCCACAGGACCGGGAGAACTTAGAGCAGGTGCCGCTGAATCGCTTCAAAGCCGCGCTGAAAGACGAGCTGGGCTTTTTCGCCTCTGCAGGTGGGGAAAAAACTGGCTGTGAATCATGGAATATTTGACACTAAGAGCTGATCATGATGTTTTCATTAGTTGGTTTCAATGGTATATGATATATGATTATAGGATGATGATGATGATGATGGTGATGATGAGGATGATGAGGATGATGATGAAAACACAAAGAAATGAAAATACAAAACTATGATAATGCAAAAACATCCCGTCGCGCCGTTTTCCGTACATGCGTTTTGCACAATTTCATCATCATCAGGTCCACTTAAAGTTCATTTCGTGTGGGAGGCATTAAGCGTTTTTTGTTCAGCATGCACAAAATGATGTGGAAATTGGCTGGTGTTTTTGGAAAAAGTCATATTTCGCTTGTGTTTTCATGCAATTTTGACCGAGAATTATGTGAAATTTAACATCGTTTGGAATAGGCTCTGCCCGCATAATATGTGTCATCGCATCAAAATAGGAAAGAGAAAACGTGGCCTGCGTGGCATATTCATTATCATTTTTGTCCAAAATTTGTCGAAATCAGTACGCATTTAGAGTGGTTTTAATTTTTTTCCTTCCTCGCTGTGGTGCCGTACATGTATTTCTTCAAAGTGCTGTTTTCCCAATGACAGCCATCACAACACAGTCTGCGCACTTTGTTTTCTTCTTCACTTTCTCAGCAAGTTGAGCTGGTTGATGGTCTTCATGCGAATCAGAGTGAGGCGATTGACATACCTCCACTGGAACGCGCGCAAGTAAACCTCAATCAACTCTGATTGGCCTCCCAGCTGTTTTGGAATGAATGCTTTGCACCCAGTCCACACTTGGTCAATTGTTCCGGTATGTGCTTGAATGACTTCTCGTCCTCGTCTCAGTTCCGGTATTGTCCCAGTTTCACAGACGTGTGCTAGCGTAGCATCCAATGAGTGCCAGCAAGTACGTGAGACGGTGCTAGCGTAGCATGCCGTCATAGAAGAAAGACGATCATCTAGAGACAGACGCCAAGAACGTTATTACACCTCCCACCCCCCAAACCCATTTCACAAGAGTATGTGCAGAGACGTTCACAGACGTGTGCTAGCGTAGCATCCAATGCGTGCCAGCAAGTACGTGAGACGGTGCTAGCTAGCATGCCGTCATCGAAGAAAGACGATCACCTAGAGACAGACGCCAAGAACGTTATTACACCCCCCACCCCCCAAACCCATTTCACAAGAGTATGTGCAGAGACGTTCACAGACGTGTGCTAGCGTAGCATCCAATGCGTGCCAGCAAGTACGTGAGACGGTGCTAGCTAGCGTAGCATGCCGTCATAGAAGAAGGACGATCATCTAGAGACAGACGCCAAGAACGTTATTACACCCCCCACCCCCCCAAACCCATTTCACAAGAGTATGTGCAGAGACGTTCACAGACGTGTGCTAGCGTAGCATCCAATGCGTGCCAGCAAGTACGTGAGACAGTGCTAGCGTAGAATGCCGTCATAGAAAGACGATCATCTAGAGACAGACGCCAAGAACGTTATTACACCCCCCACCCCCCCATATGAGAAACGTCAAAAACCCTGCATTTTACTAGTACGGTTTTCGGCGCGTAGGCAAAAACATGAATAGATAATCATGAACAAAAAGAAACGATGAAACTGTGAACATATTAAAATATCAAACTATGAAACAACATGTGAAAATGAACATATGAAAACTGATGATCAAATGTACATATGAACCTTTGAAACTGCAAAAAAACAAACGAACCGATTAAGATATGAAAGGATGAACATATTATGACGATCGAAATATGACGATGAACAACTAAAATAAGAAGGACAAAACGCAGAAAACTCAAAACTATTGTGATGATCATGATGATGCGCCAATGGTTACCCTCTGGTAATTTAACATAGCTATTGAACATGGCCATTTATAGTGGATTTACCCATTGAAAATGGTGGATCTTTCCATAGTTATGTAAACGTTTACCAGAGGGTAAACCTCCATTTTCCTATGGTTTTCCCATGGATGTCCCATGGTTTTCCCATTAAAACCACTAGTTTTTTGTTTCTCTAGAGGGGTTGCACACACTATAATCAGATCAGCCACCCATGGAGAGCCGTCGGTGCCAGGTGTTCTTGCCGAGTTTCTGGATACAGACAAGAAGGCGGCCGCCGGACATTGCCCAGATTTGACCAACATGAACCGACCTATGTATACATATATACATATATACATAAGATATATATACATAAGATATATATATATATGTCTAAAATATGTGTAGATATATATATATATTTATTATAATTGTGTATATATATATATGTAACATATGTAACCCTCCGGTAATTTCACATAGATATGCAACATGTGCCCATGAAAATAACTGATTTACCTGTTAAACATGGCAATTTTCCATAGCTATTTTAAGTTACCAGAGGGTATATAATGTACAATTCAAATGAGGCTCAGGACATCAGGGATTTAGCAACACAAGTCCATGATTGTTGACGAAACATCTACACCATAAAGATTATCCCCAAGGGTTCTCATTTCTTCATCATATTAGTTATTATTTTTCTTATAGTTTCTGAGATTATATGATATGTGTTCTTTATTTGGTTTTATGTGCTTTTATTGTGTGGTATATTTGTGAATAATTGGATTTGTGCACACTTTTTTTTTGTGTGCCTACTGTGGCGGCCACAAATGATGTCGTGGGTGCTTGTGGAACCAAGAACCGTGGTACCCAAGGGATGGTGAAAAAATGGCCGAACAACTTGAAAAGCTGTTGGAATTGATCCAGATGAAACACAGAAGTTTGAAGAGTTTCTCTGACTCAAGTATGAACAACAGAGAGATCGATACATTGATAGGTATAAGTATACTGTAGATAGATTGATGGTTGGATGAATAGATGGATAGGTAGATAAATTATGATGAATTAATAGATGGATGAACGGGCAGATAGCCAGACCATTTCAGACCAATAGATAGACCTTCCCATACATAAACATTGTAAAACATCCAATTGATAAATCATCTAATGTGCAAATTGTATGTAACTTCGCATGACCAATTCACCAGGGGCATTGACCAGACATGGCATAGATCCATTGTGTTTCCCTGTCGCGGTGCCACCAGTGGTGCCACCAGCGGTGCCAGGGCTATGTGTGTTGCGAGGATCTACAACAATTGCTGCTGGGATCCGATTGGATCATCGAAACTGGCGATCGAAGCCAATATGGTGATGAAATTCATCATCTCCAGTTATAGTGGATTAAACTATGGATTAAACTATGGATATCCAGTTATAGTTTAATCGTAATATATGGATATCCAGTTATAGTTTAATGGTAATATTGTCAATGAATCTCCATCATGGCAAAAAAAAGAAATCATTAAAGATGATGTCTCAATGTTTGACGAAACAGTGATATTTAAATATATTCAAATGATACAAGATGACGAATCATAAGACAAACAAAGTCTTTAAACCTGTCCCTGTTCAAGGGTTGGTCATTAAATTCTGGTTCTCACAGATCATCCCCAAGGTTACACCACAAATAACCTCAAATAGATCCGAAGAGGACATAATTGGCTGTATGCAATAAATAACAATCATAACACAATCATAACAATATTTGGCTGTATAATGACAATCATAACACAATAATAAGGCCATAATTTGTTGAAACCAAGCATCTACAGCATTTGTCATGTTTGCGTAGGCGAAGGCGTAAATCAAGTTGGATCGTCCACCCTCCGCATTTTTTGGCGTCGTTCAGCGACGCTCAGGCGTCGTTTCGGGAAGGACGGTCGTTCCTTGAGTTTCGGAGAGCTGGATGATGATGCCAGGACTGGAAAGATGGGGAATGATGGGGAGCTTAAATGGACCACACTCACACTGATATATTTATATATACATACATACCTAGTTATATATACATATATACATATATATATATATACATATATGCACCAGGCCCTGCCACCCCCCCCTCCCCCACCCCCCATGGGATGGGTCCCATATACTGGCCCCATATGAGATCTTCCCCCTCCCCCCCTGTGGTGTGGTGGCGGTGTGGCGCTGTCCCCCTCCCCCCCCTGTGGTGTGGTGGGGGTGTGGTATGGTATGTTGGGTATGTATGGTGTGTATGGTCGGTCTGGTATGGCATGTTTGGAAAGTATGGTATGTTTGGTAGGTATGGTATGTATGGCATGAGTGGTTGGTATTGTATGGATGGTAGGTATGGTATGTAAGTCTGTTGGGTATGGTATGTTTGATATGACAGTATGTATGGTCTGTATGGTATGTATGATTACTATGATGGTATGGCATATTTCCTATGTAAGGTATGTATGGTATGTATGGCATGTATGTTTGCTATTGTATGTATCGTAGGTGTGGTAATTACATTTCATATGTATGGTATGTATGGTGTGTATGATAGATATGATAGGTATGATAGGTATGATAGGTATGATAGGTATGATAGGTATGGTATGCATGGCATCATTGATTGATTGTTCGGTACGGTATATGTTAAACACAGGTGGTGTTGTGAGAGTACACAGGTAGTAAATAGGAAGTAGATACAGTAGATACATAGCACATGTATATATGACTATAGGTAGCACGTAGGTACTTTCAAGGAGTATATGTGCTACGTAGGTCGCCTAAAAGGTAGCATGTAGCTAGTAAATGCGAGGCTGGTAGTCAGAAATACTGCAAAGACCTAGCAAATACGAAGCTGGACCTCAGAAATGCTGCCAATAGCTTGCAAATAGAAGGGAAGGGGGGCTGCTACCTGGGGACCCAACCCATGGGGGGGGGGGGGGGGGGGGGAGAGACGGAGGACGGGACCATATATACATGTATACATGTATACATGTCTACATGTGTACATGTATACATCCATACATACATACATACGTACGTACATACATACATACATACATACATACATGTCTACATATGTACATGTGAACATCCATACATGCATCCATACATACATACATACATACAGACTGACAGATATACATTCAGACATTCAGACATACAGACATACAGACATACATACATACATACACACAGATACACACAGACATACCTATATACGCACGTACGTACGTCCAGACATGTATATACATGTCTACATGTCTACATGTCTACATGTATATATATCCATATATACAGACAGACAGACATAAATACATGTATACATGTCTACATGTCGACATGTCTACATGTATACATCGATCCATACATGCATGCATACATACATACAGACAGACATACATACATACATACACACCTGTATATATATATACATATATTTATGTACGTACAAATACCTGGATCCAAGTACCCTCTGAGGAAGTGCCTGGCCACATGGTTTTCACTGTATGTATATGTATTTAATATACCTAGGAAAAAAAAACACAGAACGGAACAAGCCTATGATTGTTGTGTCTTTTTGGGTATATAATGGGGATATAATCTACAAACCTGACATAAACAGTGAATCTCAGAAGAACATATAGAAACGTAGTTTGCAACCATTTTAGTGGTATGTTATTTTCTATCGGGTTGCTAGGTATATGTATAGTATATATATATACATATACATTGCGAATGCAGGAATATATATATATATATGCATACATATTCATATATATATATATTTAATATAAAGACAGAGACGCTCCATTGACCAAAAATCAAATGGGTATGGTAAATGAGTATACGGTAAACCCCATGATTCTAGTTAGTATGTTTACCCATGTTCAAAAGTACTTTGAGTATCTTGGTGCATATATCGATCACCTACCCAATGATTTTAAATGTGCAAATACCTGGAAATTATGATGGATCCATGGGTTTTTTCCTAGCAAAAAATAGCTCCAGAAATGGTAGCGTTCTGGAAACTGTAGGAAAGCCAGTTCACCATGTTCTGCATGAAGCGGTGAATGACCAATCCAAAATATGCTTATTGAGGGTTAAACCAGATGCCCTCCTAACCTCTGATCCTCATGATTGATAAATTAAGTATTAGTTTGGATGTGCTGAACTCACAGATCACCAATCAGACAGTGTTGTTTATGTGGGTTTGTCTAAAATGCGGTATTCCAAAATCTTGTGATCATTCTCCTGATTTGGCTGTAACTGGGGCGGGTATCGCCATTGATTCCCTCTAAAATTGTTGGTTATTAGTTATAAAGTTCTAAACTCACCCTTTTCATACTAACACATATAGCAGCATATGAATTTGTATACATACATGCATACACACCAAATTATGTACGCATGCGGCCAGATCCATTGCGGTCCCAGGAACCTTCCTCAGGCACACAGGAGTGGGACTAGAAGGAGGTCTGCGCTATGAGCCGAAGGTTGCCATGGCGGATGGATTTTTGTCGGCCGTGAAAAAAATGGGGGCTCCCCAGTCGTCACCAGGGCTTTCAATACTAAAACGGTATAAAATGGTCATCCATGACGACTGGATGATGAAAATCGCTATGTACGACCCATGATTTGGAAAGAACCCCATAGATTTATGGAGATCTTTGGAGACTATGCTTCGGTGTTTCTTCAAACCAAACCATTGATCTGAGGCAAATGTTGGATCAGCACCAAGGGGATCGGAGGGTTTTAATGAGCATTTCACGCTGACATATTTCAGAGCTGAAGATGTGTTTTTGAGCCCGTGACACCATATATATATATATATAAATAGTAATCAGTATATATATTAATATATGTATATATATATATATTAATATATTTGTATTATATGTAATTATATATTTGGGATTATATATTTGGGTAAATTAGCCCTCTCTAGAGTTGCTGGAGGTACATCTACCGATAAATGACTGCGGTATATATATATATATACAGGTTATGCATGTTTTTGTGAGGCGGCCGGTCTTCATTCGCCCAGGCAGAACCTGCATTTTTATTTTTTTTCAGCGCCACACACGTGCGGACTGCAGAATTGCAGCAGGCACCGTGGTATTGATTTGGAGTTGTCTCAAATGACCTCAGAGTTGAGTGTGGCTCAAGTTTGTTGATCGAAACCAGTTCCGAATTTGTCTAAAAGAGACCTTTTTTGCAGTTAAACGCCGTATCCAATCTGTTGGACCTCGATGGTCGGTACCTTCTTTCGACAGTAGTCGTAACTCAGAGCCACAGCAATCGTCGAAGACTGTGGACAACTTTCCATGTCAGCCGATTGTTTTGAAGCACCGTGGTGCGAATGCCAAAGATCCATTCATTCGCACAATTTGGACCTGAATGGAAGTATTTTGCCAAAAGAAGGATGAGGAAAGGATGGTATTGTTTTGACTCCATGGTGTTTCATCTACATTGAAAGTTTCAATTCCCATGGATCACAACTTATTAAGAAATGAAGATCCTCTTCCATCATTCAAGAGTCCTGGCACCTGTGGCTTGATAATCGACCAACAAGAATAGCCGGTGATTGTATTACAGAATGGTTGTTTTCTTTATGTTTTTGTTTGAGTGATGGTGTGCATATACATGCATATACTATATACAGCCATCCAGACTCCAGACCATTGTGATTGTGTGCGTACCTATGTAAATTTACTTGCACTATGGTTGGAGCGGCAGATAGTGGTAGTTTGATGAGTGTGAAATTGGTGCAAACCCCCCAAGAACCAACCCGAACCAACCCCCCAAGACGGTTTTCGAAGATAGTCCCATTGAAACCGTTTGTTTTTGAGATTTCATGAACCAGCATCCGCACCTGTGCACCTTGTCCAGCCAGCCTGGTTTCCGGTTGAGCAACGGACCAGTAACCAGTTAACCAGTTCGACCAGTTCAACACGGACGGTCGACTCCCAAGGGGATGAACAGCCCATTGGCTTGGCCCCCTCTGTTTTTGTTGGACCGCCAGTTGGGTTTGGTATAATGCGGCAAAACTTCATGTTTTTTTCTCAAACCACAATAGCCATAACAAAAAAAACCGACGTGTATAAATATATATCTGTATAGAACTAGATCGATGTGTTGATTGCTTAGTGCCTTGAGAGTTGTTGAGAGGTTGAGAAGATGCCTGACTGTCAGCATTGCAGTAGGAGATCAACGAAAGGTTGTGTCGAGTTAGAATGACCTCACCATCACGTCACCATAGGATTATGGCTGGTAATGGAAACTAGACCCCAAATATTATTAATTATATCAGTTATATCATAAGCTTTTCTGAAGTAATGGTATCCCCAAATGACCATTATCCTCTATGGAACTAGCAGGACAGGTGTTCGTATAAGGCCTCCGAGCTTCGTATCGGAGTCACGTCGCGACGACTCACTGGAACAGTGGTGAACTGGTGAACGTAGTAGTGGTAAATATCCCAGAATATTTCAAGTGAATGATTATAACACTACTATAATCATTAATCATTATAGTGATAGTTATATTCTGAATATATGGATAGTCTATATACATTGAAAAAATATAGTTTATCCATAATCTTACTTCAATGGATGATGATATGAATATTGGCCATCCCCACCATTCACTCATCGGGAGCCGGGAAGGTCTCATGCTTGTGAACGATTACCCTCCGCAGGCGACATCCCACTTCCACGCGGCTCACAGTCAGTTCAATGACCATGTGCCTTGTCCGAGTAGCAAACATGTGTTGGAATGCACAAAGAGGATTGGGATGTCACCAACAAAAAACGGAAACTCTTTTTTTTTTCTCTCACTCTCTCTCTCTCTCTCTTTCTCTCTTTTGTTCTCCCTCTCTCTCTCTCTGTCTTGTTTCAACTCGTTTTTTCTCGAATAATATATATATATATATATATATTCACAATGTTAAACTAATGTATGCATATATATATATACATATATTGACATATAGATATGTACATTAACATACACGAATATATGTATATTTTCATGTATATATCTATTTATATATATCCTATTTGCCTACCTGCCTTCCTGCATATGTACCTACATCGATTCGTCCATCCATCCATTCATGCATACATACATACAGACATTAATTAATGCATATATACAGTTATTATTGTATATGCCATGTACATGTATTAATGTGTATATATATATATGTATATATATGTATATATATATATGTAAATGCATACATTTATCAATGCATATATATATATACACATACATTTATCAATGTATATATTTATACTTGACTGTATACATGTATACACAAATGTATATATATATATGTAACATATGATTCTCTATATATATATATGCATATATATATATGGATAAATGCACACAACTATACATATGTGAATTAACATATAGACTTAACATATTATATGCACATATATATATATATTTATATATATGTAGTTACACATGTACGCATAGTATGTTGTAAACATATGGGTATGGGCCATGGGGCCAACCCGGTTGATGTTCATATGTTTCCAATTGAATGGAGGGACAAACATTTGCTGGATTATATGTTCACGTTGGAACTGGCCAGCATGGAATCCATGCTGGCCATGGTTTCAGAACGCTTGTATTATAGTTAATTAGATTTCATCATCAGACATGATGAATCTGATGAAGACTTTAAGATACTGTATATGATTAAGATATTACCAATGAATTGTTTGTTCAGTTTATTATTCGGCGCGCGTTTTAAAATTTCAGCTGTGTAAGTTTTGTTGGCGCGCACTTAAGGGCAACAAGTTGATTCATCATGATGATGGGCTGAGGCAACACACTGGGGGTCAAACTTTGAGACACATGTATCAAACCTGCCACTGTTGTTGTGTAGAAAGTTGAAAAACCTGTACACTCCTATCCACTCTATCGTACTATTCCATTCTATGCCTACATATTCCTATCTATTCAAAAGGTACCACGGGTTACCGGCTGTTTTTACCTGCACGTGTCGAGGCAAAAACCACGACTATGCCAGGCCCTGAGATTGGTGATCTGACCCGGGAAACGGTGGGTGTCGTATGTTTTACCATGAAATCGAGATGAATAGAGCTATGTCAAACTATGAATCACTGAAGGTTTACACCGTAATACAATGTAATTAATATGTGTTTTCCCAGCTCTCCTAGCATCTCCAATCCCACTAAGTCAAGCCACGTCCAAGGTCACATCAACAACAGCGGCAGGCGTTGGTTGATCCCATGCCACGGGCTCCCAGCGGGAGGTTGATCCCAGAGACAGTATCAATGCCCCAAAAAACACTCAGATTATATAATGTACATAGACATACTTGTATAAACTTTATTATACTTATATAATCTTATATATGTATACATATATATATACACCATATATGTTTATACATTGCAATGGTATTCTGGCTGTGATCCACATGTCTTGGTAGTTCTAATTGAAACCAACATAAACCTCCGTTGTCAGATGGGATGTCACCGGAAAACTTGGGTTGTTCCAATGTTCAACTCTTGGTTTGTTGTGTTTCCTAAGAAAGAGCCAGTTCACTCTAGAGATCACTATATAAAGTGTCCAGTTTTGCGGGGTGCATTGCTGCATTCCTCACAAACCACTCGTCAAAGTGTTCCGTGGCCGTACCAAGGCGAGATACCGAGATGGAGCTGCAGAGGTTTCCTGCGGTCGGGCGTTTTTCAACCGTGAAAGCCGCCCATTTCTGTGCGATTCCGCCAGGATCAATGCTTTATTGGCACAGCAGCCCATTCCTCCTGAGAATTCCATGGGGTGTCTGGGCGCCAACGAAGTCAATGAAAGTCAATGAGCCAATCAGTTTTACTGGGAAGTGAAGTGATTAACTACACATTATATATATAATAAATTATAATAATATGATGAAGACGAAGAATATAATTTCTTATAATTTCTTTATATATAGATATACACAATTTTATACAGTATATATATATAGATATACATATTGAACAATACAACTCTGTTGTACATGCATGCGTGCATGCATGCATGCATCCATCCATCCATCCATCCATCCATACATACACAAGTGGGCTATGAAATGGCTGTGAACCACATATGGGCCCTGGGCCCAAGAAGCCTATGGGCCTGTGTGGTTGACCGTTGTGACAATGTTCTCCATGCTTGATATATCCCCAACCCAGGAACTTTAAGAGTAATGGAGAAATCAGGGAAAACCCAAAGCCTGAACACCAAAGCCTGAAACCTTAATTATTAAGCCTTAATATGTCTTAAACTTTCAAACCCAGAAACCTCAAAGTGATGTTGGGCGAAATGAGGTGGGCATAAACATGTGTAATCTACAGGCCTGGAAACAACTTCTTTGCAACGTCACTGCTATGATCCTTCTGATTGGGGCAACCCAAACTGGCCTTATTTCGGGCTTTCGGGTTAGTGAATTATTGCGATTTATCCAGGTTAGATGCAAGTAGCAAATGACTGTGATGTCTTCAATATCAACTACAGCAGACTGTGTTTCTTTTTCA